CCAGAGTCCAAGCTTCTTTTTCCTTTATGCTACCTGTCCCTCAACACTCCAGAAACCAAACCAAACTTACTGCCATCAAGTCCATTTTGACTCATTGGGTTTCCAAGGCTGTAAATTTTTACAGAAGCAGACTGTCTCATCTTTCTTCCACGGAATGGCTGGTGGGTTCAAAGCACCAACCTTTTGGTTAGCAGCCAAATGCCTTAACCACTACCCCTCGACACTAGTTCTTTCTTACTCATTTTTTTTTTTTAAGTCTTCAATACATGCTGTAAACAAACAAGTATTAATGAAGGGGCAAATCAAATACTGTGTTAGTACAGAGTATGAAGGAATTACTTCCTACCTGGGGACAAGGGGTAAGAGTAAGGGTATCAAAAAGACTTCAAAGAGGCCCTGCCATTTGAGCTGAGCTTAAAAGGAAAAACACATTATCCACAGACAAAGAAGGAAAAGTATAGACTATGAGAATCGGTGTGGGTAAAAGTACAGAAGTAGGGAAGAGCACAGTAAAGCTAGGAACCAGCAGATGGTTTAGTGTGGCTTGAGTACAGGTAGGGCATCTGAGAGTGCCTCCTTAAATTCTGTCCTTATCTCATTCTAGCCCTGGTCTAGATGTGGAGGAATGTCTTAGGAGATAGAAAGATGGAATTGGGCTGACTGGTGCAGGGCCTTGAAAGACAAGACAGCTAAAACATTTATAATTGGCTGAGGGCCTGTTGTCTCTACCAACAAATCCTATACTTCTGGTCACCTGATAAATTAGTTTTCATGCTAGTACAGTGATGGACAAACAGCTATCCAACCACCTGCCCAGAATACCATCCCACAACTCCTCCTACCTTAGTCTGACAAATGTCAGGTGTATGTATGTCCTTCCAGTCCCTTTTCTGGTCAAGTGAACACACTTTCATGCCCGCCTAAGTGAGAGCCTGGTCACATGACCTACAATGAGCCCCATGTGACCATGCAATCAGCATGTCTGCACAGCCCTGCTGCTTTGATGGCAGAAACTTTTGTCTCTTGGGTAAAGCTGGTGCTTTCTGGTTGCTAGAGGAACCTAAGGCTCTGGACCCTGGTGAAGATAGAGCTGGAAAAAAGGCTGGATTCAGAGCCAATACTTCCAGCCTTTGCCTTGCTCTGTAGGGATATTGAGCTGGTGAGGAACACTTAGCGAAGATTCTGGAGCATAACTCATAATTTTTTAAAAAAATGTGTAGTATTCTGGTGACATATTAAAACACACATACACACAAGATTGGTCTTAGAAAGTACTGATAAACAAACAAATATTCAAACTCCAATTTCCAACACCAGAACGGTCCCTGTTAATATTTGTGGCTTATGAAGAGAAGCAAAACTGCCACTTCCTCTACTTCATTACCTTCATATACTGCTTTCACGTATCAGAGTCAGGTGGGGGGAAAGATGTACTTTTCACTGTCAGAAAAAAAAATATCCAAAACTTGGATAAAGACAACACAGATTACTAGTAATTATTACTAGTAATTCTTCTGTAAAAATTTATAGCCTTGGAAACCCAATGGAGGTCGCTATGAGTCTCAATTGACTCAGTGGCAATGAGTTTATTTTTAAGAAATTAACCTTTAGCTTGTGTATTTAACCTATCAATGTTATCTTATCACTTACTAACTTGCTTATGTGGGTATGGAATTTAACATACGTGTATTTTGTTTATATATAATTTTTCTGAAGATAATTCAAAAACAGTTGCAGCAGTATATGGACAGGGAACTTCCAGAAATGCAAGCTAGATTCAGAAGAGGACGTGGAATAAGGGATATCATTGCTGATGTCAGATGCATCTTGGCTGAAAGCAAAG